TCGAAAAATTATAGCAACTTTTTGATGCGCCTACTCTTTTTAATTCAATGACATTCTTTTGTGAAATGTGGTTTACGTTAGCCAATTCTCCCACTCCATGGTGACAACGTACGTCAAATAAGTGTGACGAAGGCACGAGTAATTAATACTCAAGCTAATTATATATTATAATTAAACCTTTTTAGTATCTCAATCCTTATATTTAAATAAATTATATTAAAATTTTTATAGTTATGAAAATAAAATATCTAGTTCACTTTGTTTTAACAGATATCTTAAATGTCCCAGTTATATTTTCGACACCGTTGGAGCCGCGAGTAATTATTGTGAATGAGCAGGAAAAACGACGACAAGAGGTGAAACAAAGAGAGAGGAGGAAAAAAAACGATGCAAATGCTGATGTTGTATTTGCATCGACATCGCTAAGCAACTACGTCGGCACCAACGCAGATACAGAGCGATGAAAAGGCTGCTTGCATCTGCATCGATGTGGTCACAAATATAGAACCAACGTCACTTATCCTCACATTGTTATCGGTGCAACATAGTTGACAAACAATGACGATGCAAATGAAAAATGTTGTCACCTTCCTCCTCTCCCTTTTTCTTACATTCCGTCACCACTCTCCCTTTTTATCTACACATAGCTACATGCATATTTCAACGATATCATCATTCATCACCATCAAAAATATAAATAAAATGTTAAAATTATTTTTTTTCTCATCATTTTCATATTTTCATTGGTAAAACTGATAACATTAGGATAAATAAAATTAGATGTTTCACTTTTATCGAAATACCAAAAAGATCTAACTATACTAGATAATTTATAATTAACCCTTAATACTTTTATTGTTGGTAAACTACAAATACTCTTAGATATGTTTCAGATGTATTCTTCGGTATAACGTGGTATACATTAGCCACTCTCCCACTCCGTGGTGAAAGCGAACGTCAGTCGCGTCAAGTGTGCGTCCGAGATTGATGTCAGACTCGCCCAATCGAGTATTGGGCGCATTTGCTATCGATCATAAAGCGTACAAAATACAGTTGCAATACGTGGGGGGTCAGCACAGAAAACCGAAGCATTTGTTTGTGCTTGGGGGCTAAAGATGAAGCAAATTTTGAGAATTTTTACTCGCTCTACAAAGATCTCGAGTGACATAATCTATGACCTCCAAACGCTATGACCCAACTTTGATCAGACTAGTTATAAGACTTAGCAAGAGTCCTTAATCCCGGATTCGGATTCTATGGGCACCATCCACTAGTGCAGCAGCCAGAGAAACATCAAAAGAAGCTTATGATCATTCCCCAGCTTTCTTTCTTCACCAACAAAAATGCTAAATAAATGGAAAATTATATATAAAAAACAACCGACAAAGTTTCTTAAAAGCTACCTTTTTAAAAAAAATCATCATATAAGATCCTATCAAAATCGAGGACCAATGGTTCGAATGAAATAGCAAAAGAAAAAAGAAAAAGGAAAGGGTTCATATCGAGAAAATTTATTGACCATGGAATTTTTTTTTTTCTCTTGCCTTTCGAAATAAGCTTTCTCCTCTCAATAAAAACACAAACAAAAAGAGGAGCACAATTAGTGAAGGGTGAAAGAATCTGAAGCTACCTAGCAAACCTATGGAGTGGAGAAGCTGAATTGTATGCCTGTCTTTCCATGGTCATGCTGTAGTTGTTTCAATATATAACAGTAGTTAATCTGTAAACAAAAACCACATCTTGTAAGAGGACAGAAGATTGATCACACTATATTGTTTAGATTTCAAAGCGAGACAAACCTCCATGCGAAAGAATCTGGTGGGGAAGATTATGCCAAATCCGGCTGAGCTCCTAAATGTCTCCAAGAATCCCCGAAACGAGAAATTCTTGAACTCCGCCGGTGTCAAATCGACAACATTCCCGGTGTTTAAAAACATGTGACCGTGCACTCCAGACTCTCTAAACAACTTTAGCGGTAGATCAAATGAGAGATCAGCAAAGGCAGTAACTGCAAGATTACCTCCGATGGCATCCCCGCCTGGAGAGGCAATCCTTCCAGGAGTGGTAGCTTCATCTTCACCATGTTTGGTAAGAATTGCTCTCCGCTCGTCGGTTGGGCCTACTCCTCTTAACTTAAACCCCAACAAAGACGTAGGCCCACCCAAACTGCATATAGGAGAAGAATGACCGCCCATGTAAAATCGTTCAGGTAATGGTGATGTTGAGTCCATAAATCCCCTTCCCCATGGCATTATCGCACCTGCTGCAACACCAAAGTTGACAGCAGCATTGTAAAATCCCAAGGGGAAAGCTCCTCTAACATCAAACTCCTGTAATGAGAAAAAAAAAAAAAGTAAGCAAACATTAATGGGAAATATGCATCTTTCATTTAAATTGAACAGTGAAAATTAATGGTATGATTGACCAAGAACGTGACTGATGCTATTCTCTACAATTAATTGCAAAAAAAATTTAATCCTACAAAGAGAATCAAAACAGAAATAATTCAAATGACTAACTAATATCAAAAGTTCAGTCCAGCACTGTGAGAGGACAAATCCTTTCAACTGTGTTCTCCCTAAGCTTGTAGACCTCTTCCTTCCATAACATGGAATAAGAAAATCTGCACCTTCTCCAGTAAAATATCACTATATAGCATGACTCTAGCCACATCTTGCTGCATATTCCCAGGCAAACTCTGAGTCCATCTTCTCACCAAATAATGTTTTTCTAAATGAATACATTTCCATCTTTACATAAGCCTCTAGCCAGTTTTATATGGATATTATCACAGGCTTTCACAAGCTTTCCTAGTGACATCCAGTAAACAAATTAATGAACCTTCATGCTTCCGCAATGACGGCTTTGAACCAAACTGAAATCATAGAAAGGAATATGAATGTTGACAAACAGTCATTAATGATACACAATATTAATTACACTCATGTGGGTAGGATTGTTCATTTATGATGCACTCACAAAGGGGTGATTGAGAACAAAGAATCTAGACAAAAAGCACAGTTATATACCAATATTCATTCTACAGAAATCTTTTTAAGTTCAAAGCATTAATCTTAACAAAGTAATATAAGGATACCAGACAGAGGGAAAAACAAAAGGAAAAGGAAAAAGGTGGTGGGAAAACAAGTTGCAAACAATTGTTTTGTGTGCTTCTTCCTTTTCCTCTGCCTTTTGGTGGGGCAAATTCTGCATGGTGGTAATCGTAGCTCGGGAGCCCAGTGGTTGAGTTTCAGAGAGGACAAAGAATGAACAATTAGAATGGAAAAAGGAAAGGGGACGACAGGATTAATCAGGCATGTAGTTCACCTACAGAACAGACAAGTATAAGCAAGAGAGTTCTGCGGAAACATAACCAGGACTCATATTTCCATTATGAAGCTCACATAAAGTTTCACCTGATCAGTCTGTTAATACAAAAAGTGAGACACACAGGTCCTGACAAAACTAGCTGGTTCCAATGCTTTGCTACCAGTCACATGCTTATCCCTTTAAGTGATAGGAACTAACTAGAGGATGTCCTCATTAAAAAGTTTTGCGGTCAGACTTTGGCTTATTGAGTGTAGCAACAATATCATACATTGATAAGCACCTGGAATAGTCAAAATTTCGCTAATGTACTTCCAGGACCAAAAAAAGCCAAAAATTTAACATAGATCAGCCATGTGCTACAATTTTATTGTCTTTTATTCCTCTAATAACCTTATAAAGTACAGCGCACACCTTTTCAAGTATAATTTTTAGGAACTATGGTAATTGATTGTCTTTTCTACCAACATAGAGCGGAGAAGTACAAAAAACCAAAACAAAACAAAACAAAGCTGGATCTACGATCCATTTAAACCTTAGCATCAATACATTGTAGTACTTATGATCATTCTACACCAAAATTCATGCTATTTATTCAACAACCAACTGTGACAGCATATTGCAAGAAAATTGCAATGTTTGCAATCTAAAGTAGCACATCACGCTGTTAAAATAGACCCAACATATAACTACAGCAACTACCATGTTCTCATGCACTATAACTAAATGATAGAAATGATACAATTAGAATGACAATTTTTACAGTTGAATCAAGACTCTAAACCACTGGGAAAATCAAAGAGAGCTTACCAGTTCAACTGTATAGTAAAACTAAATATTAGTACAAGCTATCAAAATTCAATAAGTTGATTAAATTCCTTCTTAATCAAACATGAAAAGTTAAGAGATAGTACCTGTCTGATAAATCGTAAGATCCTACTATCTGGTCCAAGACCACCAAATTGAGAAGTTGAAAGGAAAGCATACCCACGTGTTGGCCTCAGATTAGAATCTCTATGGTCAATCCTGTATGTGTATTTTAAAGAGGAAAGAAGACTATGTCCTAACTGTCTCCGTATTGTTTTGGATGACATGTGTGATGGATCGGATAAGTTACGCCATGTAAGATTGTAAGCCAGGTCATGGTTTCCAGTTGATATCAAACCAACAGAAAGACCCAATAGGCGTTCCTTGTATGATGAAAACTTTAACCAATCTTGAGAGAGTAATGACACCCGAGTCATAAGAGGAGTTGAGATTGCTTTGAATCTGGGCAACGACACTCCAGCACTTATCTCTGATGTTTGACCAAAACCATAAGCCCCAGAAGCATCCCAAATATCACCATAGCCAAACAAGTTTTTGAGCTTCAGTGATCCTTCAAGTGACCAAGATCTAGCCTGCAAAAACCACAACAATGAAATAATTAATTTATTATTGGAACAAGGTTCTTTGGTCTCTTGTTAGAGGCACCTCTCTCTCCCTCATAGAAAGTAGCTTTCTCTGGGAGGAGACAATCCTCAACACTCTTCCTCTTTGCATATTGGTCATTCGCAGATTGAGCCGCATCTTCTCCTATTCCTCTTCCCCACCTCCTCTCCTCCTCTTCTTCAATGTTAGCTGGCAGCATATCTGGTCGGTGGAAAACTGAGACCAGTGTCGCTACTATTTTCCCCCATCCTTATCTTATCGTTGGGCACCTGGAAAACTGTTTTCCTACATTTTCTTTTTTATCTTCTTATTTTTCTTTTGAGAGGTCGCAAAGGTTAGAAAATGTACATTTGGAATAGTCAAAACAGGCAATCTAACCCAATCCTAGGTCAGATGGACTCATTAGTGTGGAAACAATCAATTTTAAAACAAGTATTTGGCTCATTAACTCTTAACTAGTTCATAGTCAAACCAGATTGGTTTGAAGTGGGTCATTAGATTCGACACATTTTGCACCCTAGTGGTAGATGTCTGACAGTCTAAAGGCAATAGCTAACTTCAAGAACATATCCGTTAGTTCCAAAATTTTATACAGAGATAAAGTATGTATGCAATAAGTTGAGGTTGAGTCATATCTATATAGTTATCATGTTCAGCTAATCTTGTTTTTTCAGTTGATTACAATTTTATTTTTTTCAGTGATCCAATAGTTGATTAAAATGTAGCTTTAAGAATTATGAAATAAAAAATTTATGGTTATTAAAACATATTCTCAATCAAATATTGCCAGATTAAATCCAAATCTACAAGAGATCACTAAAGAGTCCTTCAAAAAATAAGAAAACAATGTTCTAAAGTTGTTTGGTGATTTACAAATATGACGTTAAGGGGAGTTACGAGTTTATGTAAACATATTAATATCATCTAAATAATAGTATTGTTTATCGTGAGTTTCACAAATATTGTCTTTTATTATTACACTTTCTATTCAATTCCAATTTCTACTATTAACATCCAATACATATAATTATCTCCAATACATTTAGCAATCTCTTGTATCGCAAGACTTGTTAAGAATCTCTCATAACCAGCATCGTTTCAGTTACTCGGATTTGTGAGAAGCCCAACAATACTTCCTCGATCCCTATTGTATATTTCTTGTTTAAGAGAAGGATTGCCAATTAGAAGTCAGTGAATGTGACTACACTGTCATACAATCTACTTCTATAAGGAAGATGTGACGGGAACGGGTAAATAAGATAAACAATAAACAGATCGAGGATCTCACCTCTGGCTTTGAATATGCCCCGAATTCACCAGTCAGCGGATTCCTGGCCTCTACGACATCAATGACGACATTGGCGGTGCCAGGGAGCTCGGAGGGGCCGGAATCGAGCGTAATGGAAACCGAGTCGAAGATATCCAACTGGCGGAGGCGCGTGTTGGCGAGGCCAGCAGCCTGGATGAGCTCCTGCATGGAGCAGGCAGAGCGGAAGGCATCGAGGACCTCGGCTTCGATGAGGGCGTCCTTGGTCTTGGTGTTGCCCCGGATGATGATGTCTTGGACGCGGAGGCGGACGGGGCCCCCGGAGAGGCGGCGGAAGAGGCGATTGATATTCTCCCTCTGGGCAGCGGGAGTTTCGTCTTCCTCCGCCTCCTCGTCGTCGCCCTCCTCCTCCTCCTCCTCCTCGATCTCGTCTTCGTCCTCGCCTTGGTGTTCATCGTTAGTAGCACTCTCAGTCTCCAATTCTTCGACGGGCTTAGGGTTCGGGCCGGCTTCGGAGTCGGAGGGGGTCGCCATGAGGGGGGCAGGAAAGAGAGAGAGGCTCTGGTTTGGGTTTAGTGAGACCGAAGTGACACAGATCGGCCTGCGTTTGAAGGTCCCGCATGTGTTGCCTTTTTTGTTTCTAAAAATAAATCGTCGGAAACCGAAGATATAAGGCGTGACTGATTAAAAATGTTTTCGTTGTTTCTGTGTTTAATGAAAACGTGTTTGATCTAGAAAATCTAAAAACACTTCTAAAATCATAAACAAGGGCATTGCGCTTCTTCTTCTGATTGCGGTCGGCAATTTGGTCTTCTCACATACTCTGTGACTAAGCCCAGTGCAATGATCAAGCTCGACATTACGCCCAAGCCTAACCTAACAAGACTATAAGCAGTAGCGCCTTCTTTCCCCCTTCACCATTCAAACCCTTCCCCCCCTCACTCTCGGCCCCCACCGAAAAGAGGAGGGCAGGGAAAGGAGCAATCCATGGCGGACGACTTCCAGAAGCAGCTCCTCTCCTCGCTCGTATCCGACATCAAGAACTATGACGGCCGTGATCCTCTCCGCCCTTGGCTTCAGTAAGAAAACCCCTTTTGCAAAGAAAAGATTAGATTTTGAACTGACTCAGATGTTCTGTCTCCTGTGCTTATGATGGTCTCATCCAATCTCTACTGCAGCGGCATTCGGAGGATGAAGGAATCTCTGCCTCCTCGAATCTTGAAAGAGAAGCTGCCGAGATTCCTGCAGAAGTGCGCCCAGACTTTTGAATCCGATCGCAGATACCGAAATGACGCTCGATACCTCCGCGTCTGGATCGAACTGGTAACGCAGATGTTAGATGAATGAACAAGCTTCAGACCTGATGTCATTTAGGGCTTTTTATTTCTTTTCTTTTATACCCCTCCTTTGCTTCTTATAGTCGATCTAGCTGCTGTTGCTGATGGATTCTTAAATGGAACATGGCCGTCTCACGACTTGTTGGTTTTGTGGCTTGCGTCAGATGGATTACGTGGATGATGCCAAGGTGCTTTTGAGGAAGATGGAGAAGAACGGTATTGGCTTGAAACGAGCGATGTTCTATTTGGCGTATGCTTTGTACTATGAGAAGCAGAAGAAGTTCACAGAAGCGGAGAAGATGTACCATATGGGTGTTCAAAAGTAAGATTTTTATTCTCTTGTTATTTCTATGGTCTATATTTGGGATGGGGTATGCTTTGCTTAGGAATATTTATAAGCTTAGTTGTCTTCAAATGTAGATCATGAGAGCATTTAGATTCCTGTTCATTGCTCAAATGCCAATGGATGACAAAATGGCCATAGAGTAGATGTTTAGGCATGCTGTTCCATGGTAAGATTGTAAAGGATTATCTGAGGGTTTTATGTTGGTGTCAACATAACTTTTGAGGAGTTGTTTGTGCCAAAGTTGATGAGAAAGAAGGTAATTAAATCAAATGAGATGAAACCTTTTCCAAGGCACAGTATTGTGTGCATGACAAATCAACTAAATCAACTTCATTTTTATATGCTGATCAAATTTCTTTCTGTGTTGTATGCTACACTAACATGCTTATTCTATCTAGAGCTAGTGAAGAACTATTTATTTTGTAGTGTACTTATGCAGGATGCTACTTAATGTCATGCACAACGTCAAATATGTCGGTTTCGCTTCTACTTGAATTTGTCAGCTAGTTTGTCATTCCTATTTTTCTCTTTTTTTATGGAATCCAAACTTTCACTCCAATGGAACTCACCTAAGATGTATTGCTAAGTAGTCTGGACCATGCACTAAGCAAATTGTAGAGGAAAAATGCCTACATCCAAAAAGTTCTATTTTGATTAGCATAGATTGGTTCATTAGTTATTGTGTTACGAGGCTTTGCGCGTAGTCTTCCCTTCATCTGAGTTGATGCAGTATGTTTTGGTGAAATGAAACACTACTTTACTATAGCCTCCCTTTGAATGTTAATTAGTGGTGCATCGGTCTAAACTTCATAATCAGATTCAAATGAGTATCCAATTGTCATAGGACACAAAGGAGATACAAAGGCATTATGTGAAATAGTTTAACTAGATTGTATATTGCAAGGTATGCAATACCGTACCGTACCGATATTTCAAGGTTGGCTCGGTACGGTACGGTACCATGTACCGAGCGGTATACTAGGGCATACCAAGCGGTTTTATATATTTCTTCCTCTTACTATAGCACGTTCCGTCCGGTAGCAGGCGGTCCGCGTACCGGTATGCCGTCGGACCGGTACGTACCACCCGTACCGGACGGTACCATTCGAAATTGCATACCATATTTTGATCAATGTGAGAAATTGTACTATTATATTGTATATTATATGAGAAATTGCATATAATTATATGAGAAATTGCATACCATTCGAAATTGCATACTATATTGTACTATGTTTTGAGTAGTATGAAAAACATGGAAATGCAAAATATTAGAAGATGTGTTTACAAGAAGCCTCAGTAGGCAACAAAATGTTATATTTGTCTGGTCTGATACTTAAAATGAACTATATATATTGGCATGTGACAAACATGAGTCAGTTATGAGGGTCTTAGGAATGATCTCCATCCAAGAATCATGGTTTAGTTCTGGTGCATTTGAAAAGTTTAATGAATGTAGTTCTGTTATTTTTATATAAATTCATGTAATTCTTTCACACAAAACTTTCATATAGCCTTGCAGAGCCTGCCGGTGAGTTACAAAAATCATATGAGCAGTTTCTTCGTCGAATGGAGTTGTACAAGAAAAGAAAAGCTAAAGTATACTTGTTTTCTCGTGGACTTGTAACTCAGTAGTGGCTCTTGGTTTCCTTTTTTTGTTTCTTTTGTTTTTCTAATGTACATCAGCTGCTTATAAATGTATTTAAACTGCTGCAGGAGGTGGTGTCCAATAAAAGATGCTTAACATTGAAAGGTACTCATATGAGCAAAGAAAGTATTACTGACCAGGAAGGTTGGACTAGTATCCTGTCTAAAAAAGTAGCTCTTTTGAAAATTTCTAATGTCATCTTGGTTCTGTTTATGGAGCTTAGGGTAATTTATGGCAGGGATTACAGAGAAGAAGGAAATAGTTGATGATAAAGTTCAAATAGTTGATGCAGAGGATGCTTCACAGAAACCTCATCATATTGAAGGTATTTCCAATTCTGGCAATATGATTGATAACATTATTCTATCAGGACATCCAAAATTTATCCAAGATAGCTGTACAGGTTCCAGCAAACCAAGATGTAAAGTTCGAGGATCAGCAGTTCTTGGAAGATCATCTAAACACAGAGATTATCCTGTTGTTGATTGGGAAAAACAAATTCCACATGATACTGATGACACAGTAGTGGTGAAGTTTGTAGACTCTGCAATAGTTGGAAGGTCTGAAGCAGAAGATGCTTGCCATCACGGACTTGTGGATCCCACCATCAACATGAAGGAGGCTATGAATGCCATCGGTAGCATGTTTCGGGAGCCAATAGAGCCAGAGATCATGGTTAAAAGAAGATCAAGTAAACCAAAGGCTATTCCGCATACCAATGGGTTTGAAGTGTTCATTGATGACGATTTTGGTGATGGACCAAACTTTGGTTCTTGCCCCACAAGGAATGAGCAGTGTGGTGTTAGTGATCTTCCAAACCTGCGGTCCAATAAGCATGGAGAAGCTTTCTTTCCGGAAGCACTGAAGAACCAAAGGAAAACAGAAGTACAGAAGCCATTTCTCAGAGAGTTCAAAATATTGGCTGATGATGATGAAGTTGATGAGGTGACTGATAGGCAGATTGAAGTTGCCAAGCCACCAATTGCTAATGCTTCCATTTGTTCAAAACAACATGATCCGGCTTCTAGCAGCTATGGAAATTCCAAAATGATCATCCCGGGATTACACGAAGAGACTATTGTTCACAGATTTGTCGGATCAACTGTTCTTGGTGAACCCAAAGTGGAAAATGCATGCCACCATGGTTTGGTAGATCCAACCATCAACCTGAAGGAAGCTATGGATGATATAAACAGCATGTTTGGGAAGCCATTGGATTTCTTTAACGGCGACAAACCAAAGAAGAAGCCAGGGTTCGTGTGTTCAGATAAGCAACCAGCTTGTGATGGATTTGCTGTATCTTGTGAAGGATTCTCAATATTGGCCGATGATGACATGGAAGATCCAGAAAACAATGCTCCGCCTGAAAACTTTTGTGAAAATGGTGATCTATTTGAGCCAACCATTTTTACCAAGGAGGCTATGGCCGAAATCAATGAAATGTTTGGAAAGCCTTTGGACTTCTGACTAGATTAGGGTACATGATTGGACATGTTTGGTCCAACAACATTTTGCCTCATGAAGATTCCCTGATCTACCAGCTAAAATTGGGGAAGATGTATCGATAACTCTACCCATGGGTAAGTGGATTCTAGAATTTTTCCTACTAAATTCCAGAAATCTGTGCAGAGTTTGATGTGAAATTTTCAGTTGATGAGTTACCAAATATGACCATTATGTTTGTGTGGATCATTTTTATCCAATTGTTGAACCTGTGAATGGAGTCATAGATGCTTTGGTGCTTTTTTTGATCTGATACAGTGAACTCTAATGAAAGAGCAGAGTTACTTGAACCCAATTGGGCTGTGCATCATGAAATCCGATTCTTCCATCTAACTTCATCAGAAGCCTCTGTGACATAATGACAAATGGGAGATAGGCATTCTCTGTGGGGCTTCACCATCGATCGATTTGCCTATCGTTCATCACCATGACCCATCCCAGATCAAAACCAACGCAGAGAAGAAGAAGAACCACAACAAAGTTTTGATTTGACAAAGCAGTGAGTAAAGAGAATGTATAACTTGTTAATGGGATCTTTCTCCAGTTTCGATCCAAAATGTCACCACACGAACTAAGTGATCGGTATGCCTAATTACAACTGTCTTCCATTTCCCTTTGATAAGAAAAACATGAAAGGGAAAGGGACGAACCCTTCTCTTGTTTGTTCTTCCAAGAAAAAGGAGGGGAAGGATCGGCCCTGCGATCTCGATCAGACGGCTGACGTGAGGCAATCGGGGCAACGAACGAGGCCGTTCTCGTTGCACTCGTCGCAGGCCCGGAAGTCGCCGCCCTTGTCGCTGTACCGCTTGTGGCTGCCGCTGCAGACGGCGCAGAGAACGAAGCGCACGCCGCCGCAGCGGTTGCAGACGGAGGTAGCGGGGGCGAGCCCGTCGATGAGGGCCTTGAGCTCGCCGGACTCGTGGAGGCCGTGGATCTCGTCGGCGCCGCCGAGGCATCGGCCGGCGAGGAAGACCTGGGGGAGGGTGGGCTGGGGGCAGTCGAGGGCGGCCTGGAGCTCGGCGAGGAAGCGGGGGTCCATGGAGAGGTCGCGCTCGTCGACGGCGACGCGGAGGCCCCGGAGGATGGAGCGGACGGAGCGGCAGTCCTCAAAGGTGCGGCGGACGACTCGGAGGGAGGTGAAGTAGAGAACGAAGACGCCGCGGCGGCGGCGGTCTAGGGGGTCGGAGGAAGGGGCGGAAGCGGCGGAGCGGAGGGCGCGTAGGGCGGTGGAGGCAAGGCAGGCTCGGTGGAGGATGCGGCGGAGGGCGTGGGAGGAGGGGGGCTTTCCGGGGCCATCGTCGAGGATGGCGTGGAGGTCTTTGAGGGTGGGGGACGAGAAGGAGGGCGAACGGCAGGCAGCGCCGGAGGATCGTGTGGTATTCACCCACGGTGGCCACATGATAGGGGGAAAAGAGAGAGAGGGGAAGGGGGGATGAGCCGAACCTTACGAGAGACGCGTGAGAGACGGATGTACGAAACTACGGGGTTTGGTGCTCGTTCCCTCCGTTCTTAAAATGGTTGTACTAAACAAACAGCAATTAAGTCACTAATACTATATATATATATATATATATATATATATATATATATATATATAGTTATCCGGAAATGAATTGGGTTTGTGTCTCCTGTTTATCTAAAAATATTTCACCCTTCTAAATATCCAAAATATTTTGAATGATTATCTAAAAAAATTTTAAAGATCAAAATACTCTTGAATTTCATTTGGTGATGAGAATTTAATGGGTTAGGACAAACCAGTGAAAAGGTCTTCAGGTCCTAAACCATTATAAAAATATTAATAAATATAATCTTTTCATCCGAAAATTTAATGACTTGGGTGTCTTTCACCTATCAACCTTCGATCGTTAGATTGTGATCACAAAGAAGAGGTCTTCTTATCTTTGATCCTTGTCGAAGGTCTCCTTATCTTTGGTCCTTATTGAAAGTAATCGTAAGGTGTTTTTTTTTGTAATTATCTCTATAATATCTCTAGAAGAACCCTACGGATTTCTTCCGAATAGCTTTTAAAATCTTTTGTAGCTCGTACTAATACTAATTTCTTTTTCAATTTTGAACAACAATAACTGTTCTACAAATACTAGTCATTAGACTTTGACTTGTATATGGAATTACTCGTAGAAGAATATTTTTATTTTTATTTTTAATTTTGAACAACCTTAATTTGTCTTACAAGTAAAATAGTCAAGATGATAAGATCCATGACTTTTGCAAATCAGTTTCTGAGTCCTCTAACCTATGAGTTAAGATTCAATTCGTTGGACGGGAACGAAACTAATAGTAGTACTAATTCTATTAGCCAAAGGTTATTTTGAATAACCGTTATTTAAGAGAGTGTTTAAGATCCAAAAAACTAATATTTATTTAAGAGGGTGCTTACCCATATTATAGGTATGATGAATTATTTTGTATGATGAATTAATTTAGGGATAAGCACCCTCTCAACTATTTTAATTATTTGTATATTATAGTTCATTATATAAATATATCAATCTGAGATTTTTACAAACGTTGAAGGGTTCTCATGGAGACAACTATAAAATGACATCTTGCAACCACTTCCTCCTACTTAGCGTCCTTGTGGGAGACAAGAGACGAAGATCTAAGGTTGATAGGTGAAAAGATGCCTGTAGCATCAACGAATAGTAAATACGAAGGTAGAGTGAAGAGTTCAAATGTTGAGCTTCGGAAGGAAAATATTATATTCATAAGGGGTTCTTTTGACGGTTTAGGGATCGATCAACCTTTTCATCGATTTAAGACATATTATATTCTCACCGAATTCAAGGATATCTTAGTTTTTTTTAAAAAAAAATTTTATAAGAATAAATGAATAAGGAGCGTTTTACAAAAAAAAAAATTATCTTTAAGGATCTTTTTGAGGCAATTGCCCATAAATTTTATAATAAATTAATATAAATATTATAATTTTTTAAAATATATAGATATTTTTAAGATGCATGAACCTTAATTAAAGGTTAGGTGAAAAAATAATATTTTATCATTTTTTATTTTTGAAATATGTTAAAACTTCCATAATTTCCTTTTAAGATCTCACAATCTCTCATATGAATTACTTTGCAAAATCTTATAGCTTTTAAAAAGTCAATAATTAATATTTGTGGGGATTCAGACAAATTAAAGTTCAACTGTAGGGTTTTACAATATTTTATTTCAATAATCAAAGACACTGCAAGTCTAAAATATTATAAATATGTCTTATTCTTTTTATCATCATCTTTTCACATAAGTGAACAGAAATATCTAGACCTTAATTTAAGGTTGAGTGGAAAAAGAAAAGAATTTTATCATCCTTTAATTTTAATCATGTCAAAATATTCTTAGTCGACATTCAAGATTACTTAAACCCTCATAAAATTATTTTATAAAGTCTAAAACCTATGATAATATCAATAATCAAGGTTGGTGGGCATTTGAAGTAATTATGATTCAGTTAAGCATTTTTTAGTAGTATTATGACTAAAAAAAAGGTTTTCTTGCTTTTAGTGCCAAACCATAGTGTTTTAAGTTTTTCTTTAGTAATCAATCATTATAATATCTCATGGATAAAGAAGATATTCACACCTAATCATTAATGCATAAATATATTTTTAGTCTTATTATTTTAATTATGGTAGTGTTTTAAGTTTTGCTTTAGTAATCAATCATTATAATTTCTCATGAATAAATAAGATATTCACACCTAATCATTAATGCATAAATATTTTTTAATCTTATTATTTTAATTATGGTAGTGTTTTAAGTTTCGCTTTAGTAATCAATCATTATAATTTCTCATGAATAAATAAGATATTCACACCTAATCATTAATGTATAAATATTTTTTTAGTCTTATTATTTTAATTATGATAGTGTTTTAAGTTTTGCTTTAGTAATCAATCATTATAATTTCTCATGAATAAAGAAGATATTCACACCTAATCATTAATGCATAAATATTTTTTTTAGTCTTATTATTTTAATTATGGTAGTGTTTTAAGTTTTGCTTTAGTAATCAATCATTATAATTTCTCATGAATAAATAAGATATTCACACCTAATCATTAATGCATAAATATTTTTTTAGTCTTATTATTTTAATTATGGTAGTGTTTTAAGTTTTGCTTTAGTAATCAATCATTATAATTTCTCATGAATAAATAAGATATTCACACCTAATCATTAATGCATAAATATTTTTTTAGTCTTATTATTTTAATTATGGTAGTGTTTTAAGTTTTGCTTTAGTAATCAATCATTATAATTTCTCATGAATAAATAAGATATTCACACCCAATCATTAATGCATAAAATTTTTTTAATCTTATTATTTTAATTATAATAGTGTTTTAAGTTTCGCTTTAGTAATCAATCATTATAATTTCTCATGAATAAATAAGATATTCACAACTAATCGTTGATGCATAAATATTTTTTTACTCTTATAATTTTAATTATGGTAGTGTTTTAAGTTTTGCCCTAGTATATTTAATCGTTATAATCTCTCATGAATAAATAAGATATTTATATCTAATCATTAATGCACAAACTCGTGAGAACATTTTTCACACCTTAGGTGCGATAATAATAGTACTAATACACTCGATCTCATCAAAACTCTAAAGCTAATCATGCTTGGGAAAATTCTCATGTTATACTCTTAATGTTAAAACAAGAATAATAATATTATACCATTGATTAAACAAAATAAGTAAAATACTATAAAATAAATAGAAGTTAGAAAGAAAGAAAAAAACTCAAATGCATGTGTTCCTATCCTAAATGTATTCTCTCTATCTTGAAATCACCTAAGATATAATCAGGATGTAAATTCTTCTGTATGCACATCCTGGAGAATTAAGAACACACTCTGATAACAGTAAAACCAAACAAAGAATGAGAGATATTACCTAAAAGGAGTTGAGAAAGCAATCTAATTAACTTGTCATAAAAATATATGAAAAGGGGGTATTTATAGGTCTTGTGGTAAACGAGGAGTTGCCATATGACAGCTTATGAGTTTATCATGTGACAGCAATGGTGGAAGAGGGTTGCAATGCCCAGAAAGAGATCTCTCGATCTCTATATCGAAGCTGAAGAGCCCTCGCATATGCACTTGTCCTTACCTCACATCCACACCATAAGGTAAGGAGGGTTTACGCTTGAGATATGGAACTCTTTGTGATGTTCTCACTGATAGCCACTACAACTCTTATGCTATCTATGTCT